CCTGATGTTTCATGAATTCACTTCTGCCACACGTTGTTTCTGAATGATTTTATTGATTTAGCCATAAAATCGAGGTCAATTTTAACAGTGGAACCTGAATCTACATCTATGGCTGTGGTCGTCATTTCTGTGGCACCAAACTTGATTTGTAGTTTGATTTCACGATTCATGCCGCGTGCTGTGTCAGGTGACTCAAGAATAATAGAACCAATTTTCTCTACTCCCCACTCATCCACATACATTAGTCCTTGGATTTTTCTCTCTGTGCGATAAAATGCAAAGGTAATCGCTGTCTGATCTCTTTCTATTGGAGTGCAGCTGTACTCACTGGTTTTATCCCAGCCCACTTCCTCATTTTCCTTCACCAGTATACAGAAAATACTATCACACCACTCGCCCTCTTTGTTTGTGTATCTCTTGTCTGCTTTATGCTTGGACTCATCAAACCTATGACACAAAGAAACCCCGTAAGTAAAGGCACTTATTCGAGATGCCACCAATGCTGGGTTTCTTCCAAACAGCACAGCTCCCTTCATGATTGCTTCTTGAGGATGAGAAGGACACAGAACTTTATACTGACCACCAAACTGATTGGTAATATGCTGACGCAGAATCAGGCTTCTAGCGTAGCCTCCGACTAACAGAATGTACTCAATCTTGAAATCTTTCTTCAGGATTTCTCTGACACTCTTGGTGATGCCATTCAGACTCTCAGCAAAGAAAGATCGTACTTTCTGTTTTGAGATTTTGATGGCTCCTTGATTCCAGGAAACACCTCTCAGCGATTCAAAAAACTTTTCCATTTTCTGCTTTTCTTTTGCCATTTCACCCAGGTTATATGGGCAGCTGATCTCCACATCATCATCACTCTCTTTTAAAACTGAGATTTCATACATCATCTTCTGCAGCTCTGCTGGATGCTCTTTTTCATATGCATCCCACAAACTATCACTGAAGATTTCTCTGAGGAACTCTTTGAATTTTTTATCCACAGTTTGTCCCCCAAAATCATTTCCTGAGGCCTTGTGCAGCTCTTTCAGGGCTCCTCCCTCCAGGACTTCATGGACAGTGATGTCAATGGTTCCACCTGCAACACACAGGAAGTAATTTAAAATAATTAAAAGTGACAAGCGATAGCATTTTTACAAGTCATTCTCTTCTCCATCCTCCTATTGCAGACTTTAGGGCCTTTATACCTCACTGGTGAATACACAGAACTATACACAAGTGTGTCAAGATACCGGCACCAAACTCATGTTTTCTTAGTTTTACTTCCCTGTATCTGATTCTCTGAATTTTGGGAGCACTATAAATTTAGTTATCTGGTATCAATTCTGACTAACACTGGTTGGTTTAATGTTTTAAATGTGAGACCTGCACGGTTTTAGTTTCATCCTCCCAGGCTAACACAAATAAAAATCCAAAACACTTAATTTTCTGTGAGAAGTGGCTAAATAATCTTCAAGGCCATAACTACCCTTAACTCACACATGCACTGATAAAGACAATTCCATCGCCCAATTTTTCCCATTACCTTTCCCTATAAATCACACCTGTGCAACACTAAATTTGTGGTGCAATAACCTGAACTGTATATACAAAACACTATTTATTTACATGTTTACTTCTTATTCTTTTCCTACACACAATTTTATATTTGTACATTTTATATATTTT